TGCCTTAAGTACACTGTTTGACTGACATACGGAATAAAAGAATAGTAACCACAGAGGAGAAAAAACTGAGCTTTTTTTCCCACTTAAAAATCCCATTTATAAATGACTCATACACTGGTTAAGAGGATAACTGTAGAGTATATCTTTAAGGAAGTAGTTTCAGGCGGGGAGAAGATGGGGGCGGTGAAGACACAAATTTTCAAATTGTCTTTCCTGATTGTCGGCAAAATAAAAAAGGAATCTATTATAAATTGAAAACAATGAGGAATACCCAAATGTCTAAAGCTAAAGCTATGTTCTACGGATTGATTTGGATGTGTAGTTCCATATCACTCATATAAACAACTATCAGTGCTCGCTAACAAGCCAGATCGAGGCAAAGTAAACAGCTGTCGAAACCTGTAGTACTAACTGACTACCAAGTCTTTTTCATGCCTTTGCTTTCCGAGTGGAACACATAGAACTACAAGCTTGAACTTTGAAGTTCCAGTAACACTGGTGTGTTGTGTTGTATTTTAAGAGGTGAGGTTGTTAGCCACCGTATACTCAAGCCTTTCCTCTATTTTCCAGACTCACTTTTGGTTAGTAAGAGTGTATCCGTCTTGGAAACGAACTATAGCCATATGTGTGGTAGGCGACGAAATCTCAGCACGGATCCAAAAACCTCGAGCTGATTTCGCTGACTTACACCATCTCTGGCGTAGGTGTGACATTCGGCTATCAATCAAGGAATGTGTGTACTGCTCAGCAGTTCGCTCCATCCTTCTCTATGGCTCTGAAACATGGCCAATACGAGTTGAAGACATGAAAAGGTTGACTGTTTTTGATCATAGATGTCTGCGATCTCTTTCTCACGTTAGGTGGTTTAATAAGGTAAGTAATGTTGACGTTAGGCGTAGAGTGTTGGGCAAACAGGGAAAACCAATCGACGAGGCTATAAAGTTACACAGATTGAGATGGCTAGGTCACGTGCTGCGCATGCCTAAACATCGCCTCCCTCGACGGGCATTACTAGCTGATATAGGTGCAGGTTGTAAAAGAGTAATTGGTGGCCAAACAAAAACATGGCCTCATCAATCCATGAAATCCTTGACAGTTAAACTGAGTCAGGTTGGGAGGGAGATGCAGACTTCCGGGTTGGGGCCCTCGGGACTCTAGGAATCAATGGCTGGAGACAATAGGTGACATGGCTCAAAATCGTTGTCAATGGCCAGCGCAGATGTATTCAGTCTCTGTAATCTTTCATATTCCTTTCTACCATTACCCATTCTGTTTCACTCTTATACTTGTCAAACTCTATTGATTCTCTACACTCATCTTCTTGCCTACCTCTGTGTGCTATTTGGAACGTGGCAACTCGAACTGGTGCACTTCGGTGCCAAGTTCTATGTTGAATCCAGACAGACAGACAGAGTGTGGTAGGCGAGCATTTTACCACTGAAATATCAACGTATCAGTTATCAAGATTTAATTCTATTTGTATGACCACCCATGGACGAATTAATGAACAAATAAGAGTAATGAAAATAAATAATTCATTATGAAATTGCTGATTACAAATAGATCAAATCACATTAACGAAAACAGATTTCTAAAAACAGCAACCATGATTTTTTAAAAAAGCGTTGTAAAATGATACTTGTGTTGATAAACATCTATTTGATAGCATGACTTATCGGTGTAGCTATTCACCTAACAATAAAAAAAAACATAAGTTGAAAACTTCAACTTCTTATTAAACGAGATTTAGAGAAATGAGGGGGCGAGTATTGCCAAACATTAACTTTAACATAATCCAAGCTTCTTAAAGAAACGCATACAGTAAAGTTCCATTAATCACCTTCTCCAAAGAAAGAAGAACACGTACGGATTCGTGATAAATATTTTCAAGATTGATCAGTTAGATTGCTGGATAGCCATTCGGCCCATATGTAGGACTCTTCAGCAGATGTAGCACTGACCCCATCAGGGTTCTGGTTACAAAGCCAGCTGGTAGACCATTATGGAACAGTGAGACGGAATCCAGTGGTCTATGAGTTCTAACTTATGCCAACATTTAGCGCCAACATCGTCGTTAGTAACCAGCTACAGGATGAAGTGACGTAGATAAAGGTAGGCGATAATCAGCAGATCATCGTGTGGGCGGTTGCTATTTCCCAACTGCCTACACTGTGGAAGTTGATTTGCTCTTGGGGTGCCTGAAACAGAAAGACACTTAGTGTTGCGTGACCGAAAAACCTGCAGGACAACTGCTTGAGGCCGATCATACACACACGACTTGCATGATTTGGTTTTTAGAATTTTTTCCGTATTAGGAACTTACCACCAGCTACAAACTACCGTAGGATAAGCCGGGACGCACAGCTTTTTCAGGTCGAACTTTTCTAATCCCCCCACAGCTCTTCAGAGTGAAGAGACAGTGTGGTGAGAGCAGGCCGTGAGAAAATATGAGCAAGGCTGATTCAACAACCAATCACAGCAAAGTTAACGTGGCAAAATATGATTCGCAGATAGAGAACTCTATTTGTCGAGGAATCCCGAAACAACCAATCAGAAGCCTGTGTTTGTCTGCCTAACTTCTGATAAACAACCAATCAGATAACTGCGCTTGTCTACTTGCATAAGCTATAATAATGTATGTGAAATATGTATAAATACGTGTTGATTTTTATAATAAAACGATCTGTTGCCTAGCCCTTGTCTTCTGTTGTTACAACAGTATATCTGGTACGCTGGCCATTAACTGAGCGAGACACCTTACTGCGGCTGTTATATCCCTGTTCGACAGCAGTAAAACTTTTCCCACAGACCCCCACAACATAGTGTAAAAAATCTTAAGTTGTGACAGCAATTACTTTTAATCTATTAGCTATCCCAACGATCTTCCTGGCATGTAAGACCTGCAGAAGCACTACTTCGAGTCAGTGTAGGTTATTGTGTCATTGGGACATACGAACCCGACCACCACATCAAGGTAAAAGCCACCGATTTTTCTTAATGGTGCGCATGCATTCACTCTTTGTGAACTCCCATTTTCATTAAACCCCCAAATATTTTTCCACTTTACTATTCATTCCCCCTGAATTTTCTGCTTATTATCGTACTTGCGAATCGCTTTTTTCCTTTATGTGACAAAGGTAGGATATACATGTCTGTCTCTGTCTGTCTGTTTTCGACATAGAACTTTGCACAAATGTGCGGAAGTTCAAGTCGCCACACTCCGTGTAGCACGCGAAGCAAGAGAAGAAAGTACAAGAAAAGCATAATAGAAACAGTGAGCAGAGGTGTGAGACAAAGGAGTAATAAAGAAATACAAAACAGTTTCATTTGAGACCATAAGTCACAAGGAGTGGATGCATCTGCGCCACTGAGAACGATGAGTTTGAGCCATGTCACCAATTGTTTCCAACCATTGATTTTTACCGTCTCGAGGACCCCAGCCTGGAAGTCTACACCTTCCTACGCGGCTTAGACCAACTGTTGTGGATTTCATTGACTGGTGCCAAGTTTTTGTTTGACCGCCGCTAGCTTTTTTCCAGCCTGACCCTATATCCGCTAACATTACTCGTCGAGGGAGGCGATGACTTGGCATACGTAACACATGTGCTAACCATCTCAGTCTTTGTAACTTCACGACTTCGTCGATTGATTTCCCCTGTTTACCTAGAACTCGACGTCCAACCTCAATGTTGCTCACTTTATTATGCCACTTTACACGGGAAATAGAGCGCAGGCACCTGTGATCAAAGACAGCTAGTCTTTTCATGTCTTCCACTCTCAGTGGCCAGGTCTCACAACCATAAAGGAGGACGGAGCGTACTGATGAGCAGTACACCCGCCCTTTGGTCGATAGTCGAACATCTCGTCTACGCCAGAGTCGGCGTAAACTGGTAAATGCGAAACGAGCCCCCTGTATTCGTGCTGAGATTTCGTCAGAGATCAACCCGTTGGCGTTGGCTGATGGTACTTCCCAAATAAGTGAAGTAAGCGGTCAACGTGCTCTACCACTTCACTTCCTATTTTTAAACTAGGCGTCGATGTAGTCCAGTCCTGTAACATCATCTTGCATTTGGCGGGAGCGAATCTCATGCCAAACATTCGTAGATTGCGGCTCAAGGTGTTTAGAAGACTCTGCATTTCGTCAGCGTCAATATATCAAGTGATCCACAACTGAGAGATCACCGATGCCTTTGAAGTAAAGACAGCAGTAAGACCTACGATAATATTCCCGATTGCAGTGAACTCAAGCATGCGACATGTCATGTGAAGCAAGAAGATAGGAATACGCTGGACACATAAGAAGACACCAGAACACCTGAACTTTGAGGATAATTTATTGTCTAGATTCATAGAAATTCGAATACCTACAGGCGAAAACCAACAAGATAGATGGCTGCAGAAGAAGCAGTCAAACTGAAATTCAAGTGAATATAAAGAAGACGGAGGTGATGAAGGTAACTAACCAATCAACAAGCACTAGAAACGAAAGAAATTTGGACGGGGTCATTTTCTCCACTATGGAAATCTGCTGTATTAAGCAATAACATACGAGCTTTAAAAACAAACGTTAAGTCAGTCAGTTCTTTTGGTTAGTATGGGTTAGAAACATGATGTACGCGCTACAAAACGCATTTTTGACAGACTGCAGTCTTTTGTCAACAGTCGCTTTCACTGGCTGCATACTGAAGATCAGGTGGCTGACCATCAAGAACCTATTGCCCACCGAATATTGCAGAAGAAATGGAGATGGACCAGGTACACACTGAGGAGATCGTGAAACGACGAATTGGGCCTGGACTGGAGGGTGACATGAAGGAGATCGTGTGGAGGAGGGAGATGAGGGTTTATGGGTGAATTGGGGGCCAGCAAAAGAGAGCTACAAAGAATACAACAAAGTGGACATGTTCTGATAAAGCCCAATGTTTCACCCCGGAATCCAAAGGGGACAAATAATAATCCATTAAAATAAATATAGAAAATAAAGTATATTATATACTCACCTCGTCGATTCGCTTTACTATTCTTTCTCATTGCAATAAGTAAATGTTGTAAGTAGTTTTCTGCATTGGATAAACGTGTCTCTGAATGCTCTAATATCCCTTTATGAATATCACTGAAGTTACGATCATTCTGTAGGCAACAATTTAAATTATTATCAAAGGATAGAAATTCACGTTTAATACACTGGCTATCGGATGGTGAATGAAATAACGTCATTTGTGCTTTTCTTTTACGTGTTTTACCCGTAGCCGTTAGAGGACTACTATTAGTAGTAGCAGCAGTGGAAGCAAAAGTAGTACGAGGAATAGTCTGGGATTTTTTATCATAAGCACTGGGTACTACTACTTTTTGTTGTTGTTGTTTTCGATAGTACATTGAATATGGCGAAGACAGACACAGGTTGAAATTATTCACAGGATCATTGTTAAATCCTTTTGCATTCGTCTACAAAATACAACAACAACAGATAAACGATGAAGTGACATGAAACAACAAGTTAAACAGCTGGAAATCCCATCCCCGACGTACGAATACTTGTGCCTTTTAATTTTTATCTTCTATCTACCTCGAAGTAGATGATATGACACACTCTGTGGGATTTAAACCCATGTCATCCAGTAATTCAATTACAAAATATTCCACTAAATTATTATTTGCTCCGTGATTCACTTGAACGAAGAATAAGCTAGATACCAAACCAGCACTTGAATACTAATGAGATGCTTACTGGCGACTGGCCCTATTCAGGTAGGCAGTTACCTGGAGTTCCAGTGAGAAGTCGTGACCAGTAGGGTGTAGCAGGTCGGGTGTGAGGACAAGTACTCGCCACCGAAGAGATTGGCTAGCGGTTGCGCTATATCGTGAATTGGCAGAAGTTAGAATTCATGGGCCGTTGGATCAGGTCCCAGTGGCTTAATGGTATACGAGCTAACTCGTCTTGTAAACAGAAGGTCCTGGGTTCGAACCCCGGCGGGTGGGTACTGCTGAAGAGTCCCAAAATAGGACGGAGGAAACAGTTGTCCAGTACTCCCTACAGGTTTTCTAATGGTTCTCTAACTGACGTCAGCTCATGATGAAACCCTGCAACCAATCAACCAAATCCCTGCAAACCAATACTTGGATAAGCTAGATAGTTTTGCTTTATCTATGTGTATTTACGACTTGAATCGGTCATGTGAAGACAGTTATGTTGAGTGTTGTGGATTTGTAATCGACAGACAACTCCAAGTTCTACTAGTTTATTAATCATGTTTTGTTTTCCTGTGTTTGAAATTTTGAATGACATCTTCTTCTTAACCAACCCTCTGTTTTACTCTTTCTTCTGCCTATTACATAATTTATTTTTTGGACATGTGTCTCTATTAACATCCTATTTCACATTACGCAAACCTTGTCAATGCTTACCAATCAACCCTCCCCACCACCCTTGTTACAATTCTGATTATTCATCACATTTTAGAAACATTTTGATGATGTAAAAACAGTAACCCTAACCATATTGGTTTGTTTATTAGATATATCATACAGTGATGAAATAGTATTATTTACTGGATGACAAGGTTTCGAACACAATGTATTGTGGTTCATAAACATATCATCAATTATAATCACACGACTTCGAAACTTGAGTTTTATAGTTTTCTTTGTCCTCTCCTATTTGTCTTCGTAGGGGTAGTAGAGTTTCCCAGATATAAGAGACATGTGATGAATCATCCGTATTACATGTATTTGCAGTAACGAAGAACAATATAGTTTCACTGGAAATTATCAGTCACACGGAGTGGATGCATCTCCGCCAGCCATTGAGAACGATTCTGAGCCATATCACCGATTGTCACCAGCCTACATTGGTTCTTGCGATCCCGACGACCACAATCAGATAGCAGTTTACGCCTCCCTACGTGGCTGGCTGGCTTAAACTAACTGATGTGAATTTCATTGACTGATGAGGCCATGTTTTGGTTTCACCGCTAGTAGCTCTTTTCAAACCTCATCCATCCTATGTCAGCTAACACTGCTCGTCGAGGATGGCGATGGCTAGACATGCGTAACACATGTTCTAACCATTTCAACTGGTGTGACTTAACAACCTCGTCGATTCACTTCCCCTCCCTACCTGGCACTCTGCCAAAGCCTAATCTCAATATTGCTCATCTTATTATACCACTTAACACGGTAGAAAGAACGCAGATGCCTATTATCAAAGACAGCTACCCAATGGCGATATCTCGTTCACAGTGCTGAAGGAGGATGGCGTGGACTGCTGAGCAGTACACAAGCCCTGTCCAGGACCTTCCGGCTTCAAGGAGAGGTCGTACATCATTTAGTCACTGGGAGCCGACTCAATGGCTCATGAATTCTAACTTCTACCGGTTGGGGATTTTAGTACGATACTTATGAGCCACTGGATGATCGGGTCTGAACGGGATACGAGCTTGCCTTGCGACCTGAAGTTTGAATGCTAGTGGCGAATAAGTACCACGAAAGAGTCCCAAACTAGGATGAAAAGCTATTCAGTACTCCTTGTTGTTTTCCAATGGTTCTCTAACAACTGATGCCAATCCGTGATCAAACATGAAAGAAATCAAATCCTTGTAAAAATAACTCTTGAAAAACTTAGTCGTTAAAATAAATTCCTTCCATTAATTAATATAAACAGCCTTTGAAAACGTCTTAATACAAAAGCCTTTATCCCTGATCTGTTGATGAACTGGCATACAGCAATACAAGATGTATTAAACTCATGAGCGAAGATTATTAGTCGAAAACAACGACTATACCCTATCACTATTACTAATGAGTTATAGATGCACCGGCGCTCAAACATGAAAAGTCAATGAACTATTCTGAATAGATATATGTATATCCCGATGTAGACAAGCGAAGATACTAAACAGCTTAAATTTCATATATATATTCTAATATGTTTTCTCTGATTTATTCCGTAGACTTCAGTCACTTGTCTAATATTACCACACAGAAATCTATGAGCGTACTATTAATCTTGTTAAACCAATGTTAAAGATGAATGCATATTAAAGATGTACATTGATCGGTCACTAGGATGTAACCAGTATCATTACGTCATGTCCTTAGTGTTGGCATGTAATGAGATACATAAATAATGTTTGCAGCATGGTCATCAAGCTAAAATAGTTGCAGTTAATCGGCAGGAAGCAATGGACTTGGGTTTCACGTTTGTTGGTACTCATCACAAAGTATGGTATCTACAATCTTAAAGGAGTTTATGTTCTCTATGAAATTCGAACCCGCATCATCCACTGTTGCAGTTAGAAGTGGGCAGCAACTTCAATTTCATCAAACTTGAAGATACTCCATTTCTGTGAAGTGCCAATAAGCATGAAACCTGTGCATAAGGCATCCTGCCAACTATCTTCAACATATCAAAAGATATACAAAATCCTAATTAGAAATACGATAATAGACACATTCGCAAAATTTTAAATAATGAAATTTCCAACACATATTTTGCAAGGATTTGATTTTTTCCAAGTGTGATCATGAATTGATGTCGGTTAGATAACCACTGAAAACCAACAAGGACTACTGAACCGCTGTTTCGTCTTTCTTCAGGACTTTTCATCAGCGAATTTCTACAAACTAATGCGCCAAAATCACAAATTCGTAGAAACTACAACTCATAGGCCATTGATTCTGGTCTCAGTGGTCGAATAGTCTACGAACTTGTCTTGTTGTGACCGAGATGCTCTGAGTTCGGACCTTGGCTGTGTATGTAGGCAATGCTGAAGATTTTCAAACCAAATTGGAGCCACTAACTAGCAGTACTCCCTCCTAGTTTTCAATGGTTCTCTGATTGATATCACTCTGTGGTCAAATATGAAAGAGTGAAACGGTGACTCTAAAGAATAGGAGCCTAAACCGAAACGACCTACGAACGCACAAACAACCTTGTCAAGGACAACTTCGACCAATCCGAAAGCTCAAAATAGCCGCGCATAATTGTAAAAAATCGTTTATATGAAAGTAATGCAATGTTAAAAAACAGTTACAATGGATAACGTTCTCGTATATGTTGCAAAAAAAGCTCCCAATTTCTCATAGGTGTCTTCATACCGATGTTAAACCAAGTTCTATACATAAATTCATCAAGATACTTGTATATCATTGGATTTCTAGATCCATTCACCAATCTAATCCGATTTTTTATGCGACTGCAGAAACTTTCGATCGAATTAGTATGAGTTCCATCCAAAGGATTACGAAAACCGTTTGTGTTGTTGACTACATGGTAAATATACCCGAGATTCGACAATTGCCCGTAACTGCTCCATTCGTCTGTGTAAATAGTGGTCCGAGGTAGCACTAAGCGCTAGATAATAGGCAAAATACACCAGCACTGCGATTAGGAATCGCCCCAATATATCCTTTTCGGAGAGTGGTGTCATAGATACCGAAAATTCATTGCTGGTTTGCTGGTAATCTGCCGCGATTGTATTTCCTTTTTATTAATACGGTCTCATTAATTTGAACGACTACGCCATCTCCTCCAAGAACTTGAGTTAAACTGTTCATTTTCCAGGTCGATACGTCTCTGCAGTATTGATACCATTGCACTGTAGACACTTCTGAATTTTCCGTTTCATAAGCTGTTGCTGTAACTGGTCTGTTCAGTATCCAGAAATTACAGATCATTTAAATTTTTGTTAAGGGTAATTTAGACTTTGAGAACAAAATGCCTAAGGAATCTGTAAACTAATAAAGAACGACATGCCCTCTCGAACTGATTTTCTCCTCCAGCACTCATTACACCTGTACGCAAACCCATCAATGGACTTTGTGTATTTTTGTACACCCATATCACCTCCACAGTGACAAATTTTCGACCTTGCAATCAGTCCCTTATCCAAACAGTAATCAAAAACAAGATCCGGAGCCAATTTACAACGCAAAAGGCGTAGAGCATTCATAATTACTTCTAGAAACAACAGAGTCACCTGAGTGGTTTCTCAAGGTCGTTTCGGTTTGGGTTCCTATTCTTTAGAGTCACCAGTGAAACTTATTGGTATTAGATGGTTGGAGGCAATCGGCCACAGGAAGCCTTGGCTACACCTAGGTTCGTGCTAGTTGGCACTCACCAGTCAGCAAGGCGGCGTATCTGCAATCTTGAAGGAACAAGTCATGTCCCTTCTGAGATTCGAACCCGCGTCACCAAGAGCCGCCTTCAGTCAGAGACGTTACCACTGAGCTATTCGGGCTGGCTCGCGATTGACCTCCTGTAGGACTGTATTGGATATTTTTGATTGCACACAGTAACTAGTGTGCATTCCGAAATAATGAAACTCAACAACAACAACAACAACAAAAAGAAAATAACAAACAAAGGGGAAAAGCAAACAAACAGAGGATCTTACATCTGATACAATATCCATTGTTTCTATCATTGGTAAATATTGTGAACCGCCATCAGGACATGTACGTAAACCATGAATAGATGGATTAGGACTAGTCAATAAATTACTTGTGTACTCGGGTGAACAACTTTCTAATCGTTGAGAAGAATTATTGAATGGTCTATTATTATTATTATTACGATGATTATTTTGGTCTATATCTAAACTTGTTTCTATACTACTACTGATATTACTTTTGAGATGAAATAAAGCTGACGTTGATGTTGATATAATATCCATAGTATCTTGTCCATAATCACCATCGTGTGAATCATTATTTGATAAAGATTGAATCAATTTATAAAATGATTCTGTACAACTATTTGTTGAAGTAGACTTTAATTCTTTCCCATCATCATCACCATCATCCGCATCATTGTTATCATCATCAATAAGGAATAATGAACTGTCTTCATCATCCCATGGAAATTCTTCAGCGTAGGTTCTCGGTGATTCATAAGCTTGAACATCACTTGTATTTGAATAGAGTGATGCCTAGAAACAAAATTAAAAGATAAAAAAAACAATTTATTGTAATTTTATATCAATGATTGCGTCGGTGGTTCAGCTTGCTGGTCCAGGGTTCGACCGTCAGCCACCGATGCATTCTTAAGTCTTGCTCAGCCGGTAGTAATTGAGATAAACAGGGAAGGTTAGGCTTGAGGTTAGCCATTCCGTCTTGTAGAAATTTAAAAAAATAACCCACTGCTACTGAAACTTCAAAACTCCAGTTCGAAGCCCCCTCCCTATGTTTCACTCTGAACATAAAGAAATAAAAAATATTAATAATAAATTATCAATGATTAAATACCTTCAAGTATTGGTTTTTTGTAGGGAATTTTTGTTTGATTGGTTGAAGGATTCAATCATGACCTGACATCTCAGTTTATGAACCATTGTAACTAGAAGGTCCTGCGTTCGAACCCTGGCGGTGGGTGCGTATCATTGAAGAGTCCCAAACTGGGACGAAATAGCTGTCTAGCACTCAAGTGCTAGTTTTCCAATGGTTCTCTAACTGAAATTCAGCTCATGATTGAATCCTCCAACCGATTAAATATCTATTGTGAGAGAAAAACTGACGAGATTATAGGCTTGAAGGCATCCCATTATAGCAAGCGGAAAAAGATTCCAGTTCATAATGTAATACCAATGACTTTCTTCTCCACACATATGCATCTGTAGAGATTTGATTGGAAAGTGTTTAACATCTGTGGAGACTTTATGCCTTTACTCTATAAGGTGTTAGCTTGATTTATTTAACAAAGACTGGTAATAACTAAGATGTTGTATGAATATTGGCCTATGAAAAAAAGGACGTTCAAAAATTCAACGTCATCACTACTCGCTGGTTGGTTATGTTATTAAACCAAACCTCTATACAACAAAAAAAAACGGTTTTACTACAGTACAGAAAAACTGGACAAATTGTTTAACGCGTTGTACATTTTAGCTTCTCGTTAAGAGAAAGCAGTATCCTCATAGATATATACTTCGATGAATTTATTGAAAACATATACTCACATACAAAAAAATGCTTACAGTAATGAGATTTTCATAGAATGATTTTGATTGATGTACACTGTTAAATGACTCAAGGGAAATGGACAAATTGTTTTTTTCATTATTTATTATTCTTTTAGGTTCCAAGTGGAACATAGAAGACTTCAACAAAACATTACCATTTCACCCTGTTCTCAGCAGTCCTCTTCAGCTAGTTCCTCGATTGACTATAAGCTCTCATCTCTTTTTCATACGATCTCTTCTGTGGCACCCTCAAACCCATACCTACTCAACTTGCCGTTAAGTTGCCCTGATGGGCAACGACCACTTCACCGAGTATGCCTCATCCATTTCCATTCCCTTTGGAATATCTTTTAGGTGACAGAATGTTGATTGGTTCGTAGCACTGCAGAGTTCTTTGTGTGTTAATCCTTCCTAACAGGTCATTTGATCTTCAATATGAAACGAAGTGGATAGCTCTTGATCAAACATAGTATGAAGCCGGTTTGAAGTGCTTTCTGTGACGTGCACGTCATGTCTTTGAACCATATAGAACAACACTGACTCCACTTAACATTAGTGCTGGAAATCTGAATCTTGTTCTTTATGCTGAGTTTAGTGGATTTCTACATGGATTTCAGAGTAATAAATGTGATCATGTCACGAACAAGACTGATGACAGTCACACATAGATAAAACTCTTGACTTGAAGTCTGATCCACAAGACAGTGGAGCAGCAATAAGAGCTGAGTTCCTATGGTTTCCGGTGACCAAAATAGAATTATATGCCATTCAATCCTCTCAGATTCTGTAAATCATGTCCACTTCAGGATTGAGATCAGAGTTGCCTAGCTCCCCTATGTAGGTAGACCTGCATTTCCACCAGCCCAGTTGTTAGCCATAAGACGTTCACATACACCCTTTCACTTTTGTGAGGCACACTGTTGCCACATTAAAGCAGAGAATAAGATTAACTTCGTACAGGCTATGAACGTATGGTTATATGAGAGCATTTTGAAAGGAAGACCGAAGTCTACTCACAACTACCTTCAGTCGTTTCATATCTTTTATGGGAAACAGAGATAAGAATAAGCTATATATATATATGCTTATAAAACGATGAGTTGAAATAGTCTCAAGAGTATTACGACCATGCTTATATATTAAGGTCCTAGGTTCGAAAACTAGTGGGTGCTCACTAGGGAAGAATCCTAAACTATGACGAAACAGCTATCCAGTACTCCCAGTTGGCTTTATAATGGTTCTCTAACTGATGTCAGGTCATGATGAAATTTCATTTTGTAAATTCCAGATTTCCATTTATGCATTTAGTAAAAACAATAGATTGAACGAAGTAATATGCATTACTTTTCAATTAGTTCCTCATCATTGGGCTTGCTGGCTAACTCTAAACTAATATACAGTTTTTTAAATCAAAATTTTGTTCGCCAAACAAGTGATTATTTTACTTAATCAGTTATGGACATAGGGGAGGGGCGTGGTGAAATTAACAGGTTAAACGTCATCAAAACAATTAACTAATAGATGTTAGTAACAAGATATCAAAGTTTTAAAGGAGGAGTGAAAATTGATTAGTTACGAAATTCAAGATATAAGTTGATTCTTAGGCGTTAGCAATAAGTGATCACGTAATCAAGAATTCTGTAAAACAGGGATAATGACTAAGAAGAATAGGATGACTCAGAAGAATCACGTAAAATACAAACAAGTTAGTAGAATTAGCTAGAAATGTAGAAATTGTAAAAATTAACAAAGTCAAAAGATACAAAAGTTACAAGCGTGGAGGGGAAAACATCGTTTCTAAAAACTTAATATATTCTGTTCATTTGTTCGTTCTGTTTCCAACATAGAACTTAGCACCGATGTGCAACAGTTCAAGTCGCCACACTCCCTCCATGTAGCACACAAACCAACAGAAGGAAGTAGAAGAAATGCATGATAAAGACAGTAAACAGAGGTGTGAGACAAATGAATAGTAATAACGAAGAACAAAACAGTTTCATTGGAAATCATAAGTCACAAGGAGTGGATGCATCTGTGCCAGCCATTGAGAACGATTTTGACCCATATCACCAATTGTTTCCAGCCATTGATTTTTACCGTCCCGAGGACCCTAACCAGACAGCAGTCTACACCTTCCTACGTGACTTAAACTAACTGTCGTAGATTTCATTGACTGATGAAGCCACGTTGGTTTCGGTTTGACTGCCCCTAGCTCTTTTCTAGCCTGATCCTATATCAGCTAACATTGCCCGTCGAGGAAAGCAATGACTAGGCATACGTAACGCATCTCCTAACCATCTCAGTCGATGTAATTTCACAGCCTCGTCGATTGATTTCCCCTCCTCCTTTCCTAGCACTCGACCAACACCTGACCTCAATATTGCTCACCTTAATACATATTGTGTAGTTGATGGCCATGGAAAAGAAAGGCGCTGTACAAATTCCTTTCGAACTGACACATAGATTTGGCTTGTTCAGATGAATTTCGATTGCCTCTGCTGTATGTGAAAGTCGTACTCGGAGACCATGTGTAGCGCATTTGGGTGATATACGACAGATAGGTTTAAAAGCTTTGTTAGAGTCGACTTGATGTTCAGCCAGTATCGACTGCGAATAGCTTTATGTGAACCGAGATGGGAGGTGTTCAGAAGAACTTGACTGATCGTACGCCCTATGTAACTAGCTCCACCTCACAAGCAGTTAAACTGATGAATACACATGGAATAGGCGAAACATGGCAGTCTGTCTCTATTTCTTGAACTAAGTATTGGTTAGCTGGTGAATATACTTCATAGCTTAGTTGAGTTGAAGGTCCTTTTGAAGGCCGTTATCAGATGTTGTGATAAGATCTCACTATTAAAATCCCTCGTGGATTATAATCTCATAAAGACTGATTTTTTAGGAACAGTGGGCATCTTTGATCTTTTACTTACTGCATTCATATGTTTATTGAAGAATTTAGTTGGATGCCGGTTTCTACTTTGTAGATCACGAATATTACCGAGTTCTTCGTTTAGTATCTCATTTGAATAGATAACTCTAGCTAGTCCGGCGAACCAGACATCTAACCAGATAACGTTTTTATTGTAGTTGTCCAGTGGAAGTAGGTTTTCCGCGGAAATGTCTACATATCGTTCCATCTGTTCATTTAGTCATTAGGACGTCCAAAAAAGGTGATATAGTCATTTTCTTCTTCTTCTTTATTTTTTATTTTTGATTTACAGCTTGATTCCACACTGTATTTTCGGTACAAGTATGGAATTTTCAGCATGGATATCGGTATCCCAAATTTTGCAGGCCGACCATAGATATCAGGTGTGCGTCGGTGCGGGCTCGAACCCCGGACCATGTGCATGGTCGGCGAGAGTCCTAACCACTGTGCCACCGACGCACAGTGAACCTTATGCCAGAATGTGTCTGATTAAATTCATCCAGTATGTCATCAATCTCACTTTCTTTATTAAGAACTACAAATCTATCATCGACATATATCGACAATAGAAATCGAGAGTATATATATTACATCTTTAAGGGGACCATTATCTAGTTTTGTCAGCAAAAAGAAAAACTGTTACGATTGAGCCTAGAGTTGATCCCATGGGAACACCATCTAACTATCTATAAATTTCCTTATCGAACAGGAAGTTCACGTTCATTTAACGCCTTAGAAGAAGTTCATTTAGGGAACACACAGAAATGTCAATGTCTGTACACTGTTTTATCAAATCACTACCTATGTAATCAATTATTTCCATCAAAGGTAGTACATTGGTGAATAAAGAAGGCTAGTTCATCGTCAAATTTCAGAACACCTCCCATCTTCGCTCGGCAAAGGTCCGAATAAAGCCATACACAGTTCAATACTAACTCATTTCGTCGATACTGGCTGAACATCAAGTCGACTCTAACAAAGCTTTTAAATTAATTTATCGTATATCACCCAACCTGTCATCACGTGGTCTCCGAGTACGACTTTTACACATAGCAGAGGCAATCGGAATTCATCTGAACAAGCCAAATCTGTGCGTCAGTTCAAAAGGAATTTGTACAGCACCTTCCTTTCCCATGGCCACCCACTACATAATATGTATTAAGTTTTTTAGAAACGATGTTTTCCCCTCCACGCTTGTAACTAACTATCTTTTGTTTTTGTTAATTTTTACAATTTCTACATTTCTAGCTAATTCTACTAACTTGTTTGTATTTTACGTGATTCTACTGGGTCATCCTATTCTTCTTAGTTATCAAAATTTCATTTAATCAAATAAATTGTGAGCACAACTCATGTTTTACGTTCAACATTAAATTTCAAAAAAGTGATCACTACTATTTACTACTGGTGATTATACAATTATTATATTGAAGGTATATTTCAGTGAATGTTAAAAAAAAGCCCCAATAACTTTGAATGAAATGCATTTATTAAAGTGTCACATATGAATAAAAAATACATTTCAGTCACATCACAATGTTATTTTCGTGTCGATGAGAAGTACACCAGCCTTCTTCATGAACAATATTAACTATACTTTCTTTGTAAGTCGTCCTTGATTTTCTTGTTGTTTGATTGTGAACGGACATGTGTTCAGCCTCTGTTGGCATATGGGCTCGTAGTACCAACTTTCCGACGATTTCTGAGGAACAACATCAAGTAATTTGGTAAATGGCGTCTAGCATTGATAAAATCCTAGATACACACTCCTTCGCATCCAGAACTGGTCAACTGGATGTGCCTGCATTCTTCAGTGAGTGATGGTGTTGTCATTGAGACTGGAACCTAGTAGCTTTTATTTCAAACACCAAAGCATTAGCAAAATTCACTTAAACAAATCATATCTGATACCAGTCGCACAAGAGCTGGCCACTGTAGCCCAAGTGTTCGAGTGGATAACGAAGGGTACTAGGTTCGAGTCTCATTGAGAACACCATCGCTGCTCACGTTGAATTGCAGGTTTATCCAGTTGACGAGTCCAAAACAAGACGAAATTCACATCCTGGAACTTATCACTGCTAGTCACCATCCACCAGATTACTTGAAGTCAGTTCCTCCAACATCTTCGAAGCGTTTGCGCACTAGGAGCCAATATGTCGGTTCTCAATGAATCAAAGGAAAAGTGGAAATCTACCAAAAAATAAAACTCACTTGATAATCATCCCAAAAATTTAAAGGTTCATTCGAATCATCGCCATCTTTATTAGCTTTTATGTCGCTTGCTTCCTCGTCATCGTCGTCGTCGCCGTCTTCTCCTTCTTCTGTATCAACATTATTATTATTTGTAGATGCCTGAAATTGAGAGTCCCAGACATTATTTATATGACTATGCTGTTTACTCTGTTTCATGTTAGGGAATTTTGTTCCATCGGATACATCTATTAAAATTTCCTCATTATTGTTCGTATTTTCCTTGATATATTTTTTACTCTGTTTGTCTTGCTTATTTCGATTACGTAGTTTTGCATTACTACTAGCATTCACACCAGCTAACCATGATTTAAATTGTTCTGTTATTGTTGTTGTTGTTGTTGGCGGTGTTGTTGTTGTTCTTGGCTGTGTTGTTGGTGAATATTTACTACGAATTAATTGTTCTGCCTGAGCAGCTGCATTTAAATATGTCTTAACTTGCATTTTCCATCGACGTTGTTCCAATTCACTAGCGTCATCAGGTAATGATGACGATTGAGATGGTGACGATGATGATGGTGACTTACAGTGATAACTATGATTACTCATTGTATCGTGATCTGAATTGAAATCAGTTGACTGAATCATTTCATTATTAGCATTACTTTCTATGCATTTACTATGTCTGATTGACACATTTCTACTGCTTGACTGTAATGATTTATTCAAGCATAGTGAACTTTTACAATTTCTGTGAGAAGATGTTTTAAGTTGTTTTATCAAATTTTGTTTTAAAATTTCTGATGATTTCGACTTCCATTTTAAGGTTTTTTGTTTCAATGAGAAATCTGTTGACACGAAAATGAAAAGAAAAAATAACAAAATAAAATAGAACTGAAAATCAACATTGTTGTCTCGATAAATTTTGACAAAATAAGGAAAAAATGTTTAGACCAATCAGAAATTGGAAAACTTTGTCCTTGAAAAGAATTGTATTACATGATGTAAGGTGTAATCTAGAAGGGATGACTGATTGTAAGTTAGAAAGGAGACATTGGCTAGGGGTGGCGCTATGTTGTGAATTGGCAGAAGTTAAAATTCATGGGCCGTTGGATCGGGTCCCAGTGGCTTAATGGTATACGAGCTAACTCGTCTTGTAAACAGAAGGTCCTGGGTTCGAACCCCGGCGGGTGGGTACTGCTGAAGAGTCCCAAACTATGACGGAGGAAACAGCTGTCCAGTACTCCCTACAGGTTTTCTAATGGTTCTCCATCTGACGTCAGCACATGATGAAACCCTGCAACCAATCAACCAAATCCCTACAAACCAATACTTGGATAAGCTAGATAGTTTTGCTTTATCTATGTGTATTTATGACTTGAATTGGTCATGTGAAGACAGTTATGTTGAGTGTCGTGGATTCGTAATCGACAGACAACTCCAAGTTCTACTAGTTTATTATTCATGTTTTGTTTTCTTGTGTTTGAAATTTTGAATGATATCTTCTTCTTAACCAACCCTGTAAGGGAGACAGAAGTTGGCATGACGTAATAAGTGTGAGGCAATGACTAATCAATAAGCTCGTGTAGAATGGACAGGAACTAGCGGAAAGGCGATAAAGTGTTTTTTGTATAAAATCTGTATGAAGAAATTTTATTAATAAACAGTAATAGAGTGATTATAAATTATTTTAATTAATCCCAGGGTGTTAAGAAAATCAAAACAAGATTTTTTTGAACGTTTCACTGTGTAAGCTGCCACAGCTTCTTCAGCAGATTCATTCAGATTTTTACTAATCATCAAAATATATAGTCAGTTTACTTGAAGGTCATTTGTCCATGGACATTTTTACCAATAGAAATATGTAAGCCAGTCCTCATATATATTTGTAATGACTAATGTCAAATTGTTGTTGTCTTTACTCTTCTATAGTTGAATTGTAAAGATTAGTTTTGCATGAGTGTGTGTGTATGTATGTTATTTGTCATATGGAAAATACATGTTACTACATTTTTTAAAAGTTCATGGAGGCTCATAGAGTGTTTGTTGTTTTTTCATCTGTCTTGCTTCATAAGAGTTTGCCAATATAGAGGTGATAAGTCTATCCCGTCTTTCCTATTCACTGCATTCGATGTGGTTAAAAATGTGCAAGGCTTCAGAAGTGAATCTTTCTTTTTGTGAATGAAATCCTCTTCCAAGAATTTCGACATTGTCGAAATCAATCTTATGTCCGCTGTCTATCTCATGCATTGCTATAGCCGATCTTTTTTCTAAACTTTTTAATTCTACTTCATTTCTAGGTGGACGTTTCGTGTATACTCTATGTTCATTCACTCTGACCTTCTATTGGTAAAAATTTCCATGGACAAATGACCTTCAAGTAAACTGACTATATATTTTGATGATTAGTAAAAATCTGAATAAATCTGCTGAAGAAGCTGTGGCAGCTTACACAGTGAAACGTTCAAAAAAATCTTGTTTTGATTTTCTTGACCCACTGGGATTAGTTTAAATGATTTATAATGAATCGATCTGACTCGGCGCCCGAATTATTCCAGGAAGTTCGTAACACCAACGGTCTGGAAACTCATAGTAATAAAATGGTAATAAAATGTGGATGATGGGAATAATAATGAGCTTATTGATTAGTCATTATCTCACACTTATTAAGTCATGCCAACTTCTGTCTCTTTTCTAACTTACAATTAGTCATCCCTTCTAGATTACACCTTACATTATGTAATACAATTTTTCAAGGACAAAGTTTACCAGTATCTGATTGGTCTAGACATTTCTTTGTTAAATATAATTGCAATTATTGTACAGCTCATGAAAATGAATCATCGAAAAGAATAAGAAAGATTATAAATTTTGCAAAATGAATCACGTAGCATGCATTATTTGGCTATCTCAATGAGATCCATGCTAACATTAAAAATTCACTGTGGAATACGAACACACAACGCGATGGGGTTCAATTTCCTGTATCCTAATGTGTCAAGAAGAGAGTTGATCTATGAGAAAAAGAAACTTAGACCACACGATATCTTCACTATAACACCTTCTGTCCTATCAGCTTTAGGCGTGGAATAGTGAAGACACTCTATACGACATAGCCACGAATCTGTCTTTAACCAAAAACCTGGAAGATAGAAATACCTAAGGGATAATGGATATTCAGAGGGGTTAATCTTAAATTATAGCCAAGTAAACGACAGGAAAATGAAACACAAGACCTTTGAAAAGAAGAAAGTGCTTATTTGTCTACCATCTGAAGGAGAAGCGATATCACAGAAGATTGAAAAGAGAATGAAATCATCAGTAAAAAGATGCTTCCTTGCAGCTAATCTAGGAACACTATACAGCACTACATACTCAATAAACCAAACTAAACTGGGTAAATAACCTGCAGTACAGTAATGTTTACTATTGAAGTTTCGAGTACAGTTTATTGCTCATAATATCACCAAGATACTCACGCAACTTGATATGATTGTGAGCAATAAAATGTGCTTAAAACGTGGCCATCAGTAAATATTACTCTATAACACTGTTAGACCTTGTCAAAATGAATTTTTACCCACAATGGGATTATACTCTACCATAGTGCACAGGTTCAATTCTTATATCAAGATAACCTACTGATTTCATTAACAACTGTATTTATAAATTTACAGGCACTTGGTGGTGCAAGTACATTAGGAGGGTAAAAAAAAGAAGGGGGCTTCTATCCGGTTTTCTGAGCAATATCCTAAGAAAATTACGCTTGAAACGAAGTAGATATTCACAAAGTACAGTCACAAAACACCTTGTAGATGGATACACGTCATTTCGCTGATATTTTCAAACTACTGAAAATATTAAATATATAAAGAACATCAAATTGCCTACGATTTACTGCTGAAGCAATTGCAAACAAACATATTCCAAACTAAACTTATGCATACAGAAATCAAATTTGATGATTTTCGCATTCTATTGGTAACTGCATTTTGACGATTGATTAATCATTTGATCATTTTCACACTAGTGATATCACCTCAGCGAGCAAATCTCAATCTAATAAACTATATAACCTTCTTGAGTCTATTGGATTTTTCTGTTTTCTCTTCCCCTACCCCCTTTTTTTTCCTATTTTTTAAAAGGTATATAAACTGATGGTAGCATGAACTAAAAATTGTAATGCTTACAAGATTTCGTATGCCTTAACTTTTTATAACATTTTCTCTATATTAACTTTCTGACATTGAAGGATGCTATTTTCACTTTTTTATGGCGATTGTAATTTTGAAGTGGTCTACAGATGATGAGAACCTATAAAAAGGGGGAGTGACGGCATCGTATATAGCAAATTTGGTCTCTCCTGCTTTATCGAAGAGAAAATACATTTTAGTTTGTGTAATAAATTCAAATAGGAGGGTGAATTATTTGAGATAGTCGTCAGTTTGTAGACTGTTATTTATGTAATACATTAGTACTGCAGGTGCGATATGAAAATCTGATGTACTACAAGAATGAAAATTTTTCTTTATTTCTTTACGTTCTTTACGTGGAACATTAGGCTTCAAGCTAGAGGCTTGAAGTATCTGTAGAGGTGGTGATTACTTTTACGAGATGTGGTTGCTAGCCTCATACCCGACCTTCCCTTTCTACCAGACTTAATACTGGGTTAGAGAGGTAAAGGAGTGCATCAGTGGCCGGGGATGGAACCCCAAAGTACCTGTGCAGTTGCTGAGCACTGTGCCGCTGTTCTACCAATGCACAACAATTACTGAGTATTCCAGTGGTTTGCGAGTCTCTAAGCCTCGTAGATATAAGCGAACGAGAAATTCGAAGACAGCAGCCCAAGAATACTCATTTCAATTTCACTTTCAGTCATCATTTATCGCTCAATTTTCGTTCGAAAAAAAACGTAACAAAGCTTCCAGGATCGGAAATACAAATCACAGCTTCATTAATCTGAAATCACTATGGAAATCTGCTGTGCTAAGTATTAAGATTTTAAACACTAATGACAAATCAGTCAGTGCTTCTATATAGTTCAGACAGTTGGCATGCGAATTCAACAGGTTTAAGACTTTTACCAACCACCACCTTCTATCCATACTAACGATCAAACGACCAGCCAGAGAAGATTAACAACAAGGAATTCCACAGTGTAATGAACCAACCAACAACCTATTGACCAGCAAATATTCCTAAGGAGACGGAAATGGATCAGAAACACAATGATGAGACCCGTTGAGCAATATCAAGTGGCAGGCCGTCGCACGAATAGAATTCGAATGAGAAACAACGAGTTGTGTGTGTATGTGTGTGAGTGTTCAGTGGGTGATATAGAGGAGACATTGTGAGGAGGAGATGACAGACAGCCTATGGAAAATCGTGGAGTCAGCTTAAAAGAACTTCAGAAAACAGGATGAAATGGAGATGTGTTTTTCAACTCCTAAGTCCCAGTTGGAACCAAAGCGAATGATTGTCAAAACAACAATAATTTCACATGCTTAATCTCGTCATTAGGATATCTCTTATCTGTAAAGTAGATAACTTCTACTATTCCTACTTCCATCACATTTTCTATAAGGACTGATTCTGTCTACCAAATCTTCATCAATATGTCTCCAGAAACACTCAGATCTAAAAAAGCCGGATATGCTTTGGGCTGGTGAAGTTCTAGAAATAATGTCATACATATATGACATTATTTCTTATTCTTATTCCTTTGATTTATAGTTGAAGCCTACGGATACGAGCTTGAGTCCCAAAGTTTCAGCAGCAATGGTGTTATTCCTTTCTATGGGCTCGGCTTTCTAGTCTGACGTCAAACCTATCCTCTTTCCCGGAGTTC